TTTCTGGCCATCTCTCTTGGTGGAAGCCCAACAGAAGGGCCAGCAGTCACATCCACACTCTAACCTCATTTCCTTCCATTCATGCTTCCCACCAAATGTGTGAAGGCTCAGTCCTTCTAAATCAGCACACTCTTAATCATTATCTCATTTAACTCAAAACACAACCCAATAAAATGGAACTTACGATCTCCATTTGTCAGGTAAGAATTTTAAAGCCCAGAGAGATTACATTATAAGAGGTATTCAAGACATCATGTTAAGATTGGAAGAAGGGACACAGACTAAAATAAGATAGGGAGGTTTGGGATTCACATCCAGGGCCTATCTCATGTTGTCACACATTATGTTAGGCTAGGTATTTTTTGACCACGTCTCACAAGGACGACTGAAAGAGACCTACAGCACACCTTTCCATCTTCCAAATCAGTCTGTACATTAGTACAAAAGCACTCTTCCTAAACCTGGGCCATCACTTAAATCTCATGCTCTAAATTAGCCTTTCAGGGTACCCTGCTTATTTATTGTCAATTCCTCATTCACGTATGCAAGGATCTCCATAATCTGGATCCAGAATACCTATGAACGTTTATCCTCCATACTTTCCACAATCCCAGCCAAACTACACACCATCCTAGGCTTCAGCCACTCAACCCAGGCTGTCCTTTAAGCTCTGTGCTCCTGATTAAACCTACACCAATTGTCAGTGCTCAGTTCAAGTCTCACGATGTAAAGCCTTCCATAACCTTACCCAGTCAAACCTATCCTGTCTTTATGTCAACTTACACTCTAGCCACACTGGCATTGAACACCAATTGCTTATAAGACTATTTTTTACCCCACAAAGTGACTCACTGAAATTTCCCTCTTCCAAATCCCCACAACCATATTCCATCCTTGAATTATCATTATTTTTAAGCCCTTTTAGAACAGAGAATTTGTCTTAAGTCTGTCTCCCTTCTTCCAGTCTTAACATGCTGCCTTAGGGATAGTTAGGATAAATGAGTGAATGAAAGAATTAGTTAATTGAAGAAATAGAGGGACAAAGAGAAAAAAATATTTTTTGCCAGTATCTACTTGAGATAACAAGTAATTTAAAATATTCAGGTGTACTAGCAAAGGTTGAAAGTTACGTCAATATTCTCCCCAAATGTCACATACCATAACTAACTGGAAAGAAACCTAAAAATGTTGAAACAATACATTTTACCCAAAATTAAAATAGACTATTTAAATGATGTTCTGAATCAAATGAATTTTAGAAAAGACAATTTAATAATTGTTAACATGCGGGATGTGCATAACAAAGGTCTTTTTTGGTCACTTGATTTTTAAATTACAAAAGACAGAAATAATACAGTGTTTCTTCTTCTTTTTTTTTTTTTTTACTACAATGAACAAAGGTTCCAAAATGAAACTCCTATCTTTGATTATTTAGAAACTGATTCTACTGTAATCCCAGCACTTTGGGAGGCCAAGGCAAGAGGATTGCCTGAGCCCAGTGGTTCGAGACCAGCCTGCGCAACTTGCTGAGAACTCATCTCTACAATAAATCAAAAAATTAGCTAGGTGTGGTAGCGCACACCTGTAGTTCCGGCTAATTGGAAGGCTGAGTGAGGTGGAAGGATTGCCTGAGCCCAGTAGGTTGACACTGGAGTGATCATGAGTGTGCCACTGCACTCCAGTCTGGGTGACAGAGTGGAAGGAAGGAAGGAAGGAAGGAAGGAAGGAAGGAAGGAAGGAAGGAAGGAAGGAAGGAAGGAAGGAAGGAAGGAAGGAAGGAAGGAAGGAAGGAAGGAAGGAAGGAAGGAAGGAAGGAAGGAAGGGAGC